AAAACACCGACTTCTGGTTTCCCTCTACTGGCAGTAGGAGGGTGGAAGTAACGCGCTTTAAGTGAGCTTCTGGGGGACAGCTCTTTAGGCTACCCTTTGCTGTCATCACCTTGCTGGGTGGCAGTTTTCACTCTTATTCGCTCGTTTGCTCTGCTGCTGTTCTTTTTTTTTGGGGGGGGGAAGTGTGAGAAGTAGGTCAGGTTAAAGCATGTTCTGGTTTCCCTCTACTGGCAGTAGGAGGGTGGAAGTAACGCGCTTTAAGTGAGCTTCTGGGGGACAGCTCTTTAGGCTACCCTTTGCTGTCATCACCTTGCTGGGTGGCAGTTTTCACTCTTATTCGCTCGTTTGCTCTGCTGCTGTTCTTTTTTTTTGGGGGGGGGAAGTGTGAGAAGTAGGTCAGGTTAAAGCATGCAGACAGCTGGGGTGGACGTGGGGAAGGCAGACTTCTTTTGCTGGGCATCTGCAAATTAGAAGAGGGTTTTCCGGTTCAAGTTTGAGCTCTTATTCCTAGTTTCTAATCCGGTCTGAGTAGAGCGTTGCTCTGTGGATGGGTTTGAACTCTCCTTCCAGTTTTACAGGGTTGTTTCCGTTTTCCTCTGTTTTTGTGTTGTGAATAGCTTGGACAAAAAAAATCACTGTGTGTGTATTTGTCAAGATGGAACCAAACAGCACTTTTAGTCCAAACTTGCTCTACCTCACTTTTAGCTGTCTGTGCTTGAAATGGGTTTGGTCCAAGTTGTCCAGCCACATCTTCTTTCTTGTGTGAAGCAGCATCTCATCCTGCTGTGCAGAGCAGCAGAGGAGCCCGTCCATCAGAGCGCTTTGTCTTGGGTAGCTGTGCTGTCTAAGCAGATGCCTTGAGATTTGGTGGTCCTTTAGTGCCTGTCTGCTAAATGGGAACGCTTGATCTGTTTTGTAGTAGTGTTTGTGTCAAGCTCTAGGTAGGTGTTCCTGGCCACTGAGCTCTGCCTGGCCCCTAGCGGCATGCTGAATGGTTGTGTGACCTTCCCATTCCCACTGCATCCATTCCTGGATTGATAGTCCTCAGTCCTTGGCCTCTCTGGTAAGGTGCTGTGTGATGGGAGTTTGTGGCTGTTGGACTCAAATCAGTGATTTACAGTTGAAAGAGTGAGTTTCCCGTTGTCAGCCTTGTGGG